AATGACTGAATTTTGAAGGACATGTAAGTTGTCCTTGATCCAATGGCTACCACAGGGCTCAGGGACGAGGTGTTTTAAGATGCGGTATTGCATGTCGGAGGCTATAGTAGTAGGGACCCTGGATTGCAAAATATGCCTCTTATAGGAGGGAGGCTGGATTTTTGTTTTGAAGGTTTGTGAATCTTCCTGAGTCCACAAAAGTAAGGGTACGCTTCAACACCATGGACGACATGCTATTGCAATTCAAGGGTTATCACTTTTATATGTTTCAGGTTACAGAACTGATCATAGAAAGCCTAAAGGTGAGCGATAGAGTCTGAGGTAAGTGGTTGTGAAGGGTAGTGCTGTTCAACATAATGGATATAGCTTTATTATAGTCACTGGTTTTCAGGCGGATGAAGCTGATCATCAGAAAATCCAACAGTTTTGAAGGCTGTAACAGCTAGTGCTGTGGAGCACATAAGAGCAAGGACAAAGCACCAAAGAAGTTCTGGCCATCAACTGCAGCCTGGCAGTCTCCAGACGTAACGGTCTCCGAGCCACTGGGTAAAGGCTTCCTAGACCGAGAGAGTTGGACTGACAGCTCCACGTTAAACAAAGTGAAGCACAGGTTCATTCTACAGCTCATCACTATCTTCATTATCCGCACTATCACCCCAAAGCACCTCTGCGATAGGCAAGTGGCGAAAGTAACAGGGACAGGTGAACCCTGGCAGTTATAGTCACAAACCTGCACGCAGGCGGCCATTGGGCAAGTGGTCATCTGACTCCTGCCCTTGACAGCAGGATCTCTCTGCAGCACTCAGTGGCGACTGGGTAGCCTCTCTAGGACTGCACTTCCCATCAGTGGTCTAGGAAAGGTGACCCAAACAAATGCCTGCCATTCAAAGTCTGGTCAGTTTACTGCGGCTGACTCACCTATTTTGCGGGTCCAAAACAAAGATATTTACTACAGGGAGACGCTGACTATCAGAAGAGAGAGGAGATATAATCCAGCAACCCCAACCACGACATTCCAGTGTCCCCACTGCAACAGATATTGTACACCCAAGATCGGACTGTGCAGCCACGTGCACGTCCACATATGAGCTGCATGATTTCGTCGTCACCTTCAGTCACTGCTGTCCATGAGCACAAGGGAACCGCCTTTGTCAGCCTCGCGGACAGTGCGATCACTGTTGTTTCTCAGTTCATAAAGAGCTGCTCTTTATGATCTTGTAAGATTATCTTTGGGGTGGTGAATGTTATCTTTGATATTACTTATTTTGAACTCCGACTTCTCAACATTGTTACAATAGAGGTCAGAAGCAGCTTTGCGGCTGGAAGCTGTGAGTGTGTGTGAGGGGGGGGGGGGTCCAGTTGCTCTTGACATAGATTATTGGGGGGATTGTTCTAACGACGGGAAGTGTCAACTTCAGCAAAATAATCGAGGAACCTACAGAAACGGGTGTATACATTAGTATCTCAGATGAATTGGAAGCGATTGAAGAGGGGTTTTTTGGTTGTATTTTCTTTTTGCACGTGGCTGAAACCACAGCTTGGACATTACTCTGGACTGAGGTAAGGGGGAGAGAAGAGAGGTTTATGACGTTGTCTTTAGAAGTAGGTTGGTGTAAAAAGGAGGAGGCAGGAGTAGGTAGGCATTGATCAGGAAGCAATGTGGTAGAGAGTTGGGGGGGGGGGGGGGGGA